GAGGGTACAGGCCATGGGCCCTGTAGATTATGTCAGGAAGAGAAGGGTGTAGATGCAGAGTTGATGCCCAGAGGGAATGGCGTTGCCAAAAGACCAGGGGGCTGAAGGACAGACTTGAGGGCAGGGAGAAGTACAGGAGGCTTGAAAGCAGGCTGTGTTCACCATGTGTGATAATTGGGATTTATGGTCTCAAAGCTGCAGAAGGTCTCCAACATGATGATTGACTCTAGGTGGCTGGGGGCCTGGGGACAGGTCTAGTCTTAAAGAGTTTTTTCATGTGGACAGTGAAGCCACCCAAAATGGTAATGAGAAATGAAGTGGGGAATGAACCGGATGCCAGGTTTTTCCATGGATGTGGAAGAGTGGCTAGTAAGTGAGCTGGTGGAAATAGGAAGAGGCAGGTGAGATTTTCAGGTGGGACTTTTTTGTATATATACATAGAGAACAGTAGATCGTTTGCAGGTGGTCAAAAGAGACTGAAAGACTGGGGCATGGGAAGATTCCTCTGTGTGGCAGAAAGCTTCGGGCAGGGACATGGAGAAAAGGAAGAGTGTTTGCCAAGGTCAAGGGTAAGGGGAGAGCTGTTTGCCATATTGCTGGTCCTAGAGGAGGCAAGGGAAGTCTTGAGAGAATGAATTCGTATAGAGCCATGGTTCCCTAAATGTGACCTGGACAAGCAACAGTGGCACCTTGGAACTTGTCAGAAAGGCAAATTCTCAGGTTCCATCTGAGACCCACACCATCAGGAGCTCCGGAGGGAGCCAACAATCTATGTTTTCACAGGCCTTCCAGGTAGAGATCAAGTTTGATTCCCGAGGCTGAAAGTCACAGCTGTGAAGGCAGCACAGAGCAGCCTGGAAAGGGGTGGCAGGAGGAGGGCGGACAAGGGCTGGGGGTGGGGGAAAGGAACTTGTGGTGAGGACAGCACCAAGAATGACAAGGATCATTGCCCTCAGGTTTTCATAGGGAATTCTGTGAAATTCAGTTCAGTGGGAACAGACCGAGTTCTCAGCCCCGCCCCCCCGCCCCCACCCAGTGACTAATGAAAGTGGTGACTTAGGACTGCCACTCGGGGGATTTTTGTTATAGCATTAGGGGAACCTTTAGGTGGTATGGATACCTCCCAGGATTCTCATTTCATAGTGAATTTCACAGCCACTGCTGGGGAATAAAAGCTCACTTCTGCCCCGAGAGTCACTTCCTCTCACTCCAATAAGACTATTTGCCCCAGTCTCTTGCACTCCTGTGTTGCAGAGTCTCTCTCATAGCATTGGGGAAAGCATGATGTCCTGGAGAACCAGTAATGATTAATCATCGTCATAAATAATAATAATAAAATAACATCTCCTATTGTCTGGCTCTTCTCTCAACTCATCTTACTCCAAATACTATAATGGCTTATTTGCTATTTTCAATTACCAGCAAGGCCAGCAGAGGCTGGGAGCTCTCTGCTGGTCTTGCTTCCCCCTGGCATGCTCTTCCCCACACATCCCTGCGGCTCATCTCCTCCCTTCCTCCGGCTCTCAGCCCCAGGGTCATCTCTTCACTGAGACCTCTCACGGCCACCCTGTTTAAAATCTCAGGGCCCTACACAACACTCCCATGCCTCCCTCTCCTGCCTGACTTCCTCCCACGTCCTCACAGAAGATATTATCTAGGTGATGTATGTTGCTTCCAGAAAAGCCCCTCCCACTAGACTGTAAGTGCCTCGAGGGTGAGGAATTTTGTCAGTTTCTCCTTGACCTGGCATGTGCTAAGCCCTCAGGAAAAATTGTATTGAGTGAATGAATAAAGGTATGCTTCCTGGGTCCAGACGTTATGCTGCATTTAAGGTCACTTTTAGTGTCACCATAATCTTAGAAGGTGTGTATCATTCACCATCATTGAACAGAAAGGGAAACTAAGACCCAGAGAGGTTAAGTGACTTGTCCAAGGCCATACAGCTAGTCTGTGGCTTGCAAACAATGCCGTGGTGCCAGTTCTTAACTGTAACTCTGGGCCTGAGGACTTCAGTCCCCATGGTTTATTCTGCTGTCTGAGAGGTCCTGGCTCCCTTCTAATAACGAATAACTCAGCTTCTCTTTTCCCTGATGAGGCCGTGTCTGCAGACTCCTTGCTGTCTCTCCACATGCATTTTAAATTTGTTTTTTTTTTTTTTAAGATTTTATTTATTTGACAGAGAGAGAGATCACAAGTAGGCAGAGAGGCAGGCAGAGATGGGGCGGGGAGCAGGGAGGGCAGGGAAGCACGCCCCCTGCTGAGCAGAAAGCCCAATGCGGGACTCGATTCCGAGACCCTGGGATCATGACCTGAGCCGGAAGCAGAGGTCTTAACCCACTGAGCCACCCAGGTGCCCTCTCCACATGCCTTTTAACTGTTTCTGAACGCCTTGCATTTTAAAGACAGGGAAAACAGATCCTTATTTTGGATAGCCCAAGACTTCTGTGAAGCTGAAAACTGGGTAAAATGATAACTCAAAACACCTTGTTATTTTTTTCCATTCTTGAGATGCAGTGAAAGCTAATGAAATAATATTCCTAAATTTTCTCAGTGGAAATAGGAGGAACCAAAAATACTCATGCACTAGGAACCTAGCGTATATCCTTCTGAATATAGCATGCCATTTATGGATGTCAGCTTGTAAGCACACCCCAGAGTTAGATTATCTTGGTTTTAGGAGATTTATGGTGGTGCCTGGGCCTTTCCCACCTGGTCTCAGGCATGCATGCTGCTGCTAGTGGGAAGTATCAGCCTTTTCTAGCTAGATATTACAGTTGTGTTATGAGAATAGTAAATACGCTGGAGAACACCTCCTCAGCCGTCTCTGTTCCTTGGCGGAGACAGTTATAACCGGGGCCCGGGGTTTGGGATGCTATTTCTAATCACTAGAAATAAGAACATAGAGCCATCAACAAAAAGCCTGGGAAAAGGAAACCTAGACTTCCCATCGGGCCTGTAGTCTGATCGCCCACATTTTTCCTCCCCTGTTCTTTCATCTAGTACATGTCCCCCTCCTCCCGTTGAAATCAACATAGCTCGGGGAAGCTGGGTGGCTCAGTCGGTTAAGCGGTTGCCTTCAGCTCCAGTTATGATCCCGGAGTCCCAGAATCGAGCCCCGCATCTGGCTCCCTGCTTGGCAGGGAGTCTGCTTCTCCCTTTGCCCTTCACCCTGCTCATGCATG